TGATAAAGGAACATTAATCCTGGCTTTTGGTGCGTGATTCGTGGGTTGCATCTGCAAGCCAGTTATCCCTGATCTACTTTTCAACCTTCGTGACGAGAGACCTAACGGGGAAAGAAAGCGAAACTGTCAAAGGTTTCCTTTGAGTTGATCATTTCTCTTTAGGCGCTTTAACGAGTTCCCAGGAACAAATCCATTGTCTTTCGTTATCAGTTCCCACCTCCACTCCGTTCTTAGAAATGTCCAGCATTTTCGGAACGAGAATAATGTGCATACATTGTAAATGGAACGGTTCCTACTTATCAATTTTTTGCATTTAAGCTTCAGCTGAGTTAGTGGCGCCTCGCTGATTATGCCGCATTTAAGCAGACTGGTAAAAATAAAATCTCAGAAGCAATTAGTTGATATCGATCAAAAGGTTGGAGATCCTCTAGAGAAACAAATCACCTGGCACTGCGATGATTTTTGCATTATTTCTGTCTAGGACTGATGGCGAATATATTTTATTCAAAATGCTTGCGCTAGTGCTGATTCGTGAACAATGGAGAAAACTCTTTTTTGAAGATATTGTGTGCTTGATTTCGCAAAGTTTGCACTGTTTTTGAAGTTTTTCTTGAATATGAAATCTTAAATATTGGAAGGGGATAATTTCGAAATACTGGTAATTTTATTCTAGAAATGATTAAAGACGACTTTTTTAAAGAGCGGAAGAAAATTTGCAAATGTGTGATTCTGGGTAAATTATGTGCATACCGTTATACCGTTATCACTTTCCCAAAACAACGAAACTGCACTTTTTGCTCGTAATTTTTTTTTTTTTTTTCTCCTAAATGAATTTTCTAAGTTGCTTTCTGGTGGTTTACTCTGTACTGAAAGAATATGACGTAAGCAAAATTTTCTTTCAGATGTGTATTGTATAAAAGTAAGTCATAGTTTTATTTATTTATTTATTTATTTATTTATTTATTTATCCTCAAAAACTTTCTCCAAATTTCCTCTTTGAAACTCTTTCCTATAGAAAAAGGATTTCGCTGATTCGTCATTCTGGTTTACTATCTAAGAAAGAAGATATTTATAGTGTAAGGGTTTGTTACCTTCCAAAAATGTTTCAAAATGCTTGGAAATGAAAATAAAAAATTCCAATGCATGCAAAAGTTAGATACAAACTAAATTACGCCATTTATCTTATATAATTCTTAGTTCCACTAGCGCAGCATGTGTAAAAGGATACCTAATGGAACCGAAGCTCCCACAAACACTAACTGTTTGTTCGATTTCTAGGAGCCGAAAGCTTATAATGATGTATGATGTTGCTAAAATAATGACAATAAATTAAAATAACATTTTTAAGACCATTAAAATCAATTTGCAAAAAAAAAAAAAAAAAATTGCTGAAAATCAATTTGCAGAAAACAAAAATTTGTTTTTCCCATACATTTTCTCCCGAAAAGTGGTTATTTTATAATTAAAAGTGAACGAAAATTACAATGCTTAGCCAGTACCCGGAATCAGAAAATTTCGTTTTGTAATTCCAAACTGTAGTAATCAAGTAATTAAAAGCACCGAATATTCATTCATTTCGCCATTAAAGTGTTAAATTTTTGTCATTTCTATCGATGATTTAAATAAACACAAGTTACAATCTCGTATAAAGCCATCCACGAAACTACCTTTAGTTCATAAACAGCTTTTGGGGGTATAGAAAACAGCTTTTTGAAATAGAAACAGCTGTTCATAAACAGGTTTTTGGGGATATGTTTTTAATTAGCTTATAAACTGTTTTCATAAAGGAGTAACTGACAAGTACTCTAAAAAAAACTATATGCAAGGATTTTAATTATCAGTACAGATACTAAAACCATAGATAAATGAAATTCGGATAAATAATGATGAAGCACTTTTTGTTTGCAAACCATAGAAACTGAAAAAAATATTTTCCTTCTATTAGATGGCATTTTACTTTGGTTGCGTCATGTGTACAAGACATCAGAAACTTATCCTCTTCTACTTCAAATCAGACACGCTAAATCATTTCGCAAGATTTCGTTTACAGCAAGAAAAAGTCGTCTATCTGATCAACACGAAAATAAATTTTTTAAATTTGCATTTTTACTTTCGAAATACATTGGAGCTGCCCTTTAAAAATCTTCCAACGTGTTAATCGTCATTGCGAAGATTGCAATAGACGAATTGATTTAAAAGAAGTCAAGCATTTTTTAAATTAAACAAAATTCCATAGGTTAATAATACTCTTTACTTGCACCGTTAAAAACAGTCTGCATTAGAACGTTAAGGTGAATTTACTCCACGTCTCTAATGTGTAATACATAAGAATTTGAAGATTTTTCAATGTGAACTGATTTTTTTCCTAGTGGCCAGCACTTATTTCAACCATTCAACCAGCTTCGATTAGGCATTCGCTGGAAGATAGCTGGACACTTCGAGATCTTACCTCTGAATACGTTCCAAGGATATACTGCGGGAGAACATGGATATATTTTCCTCAGAGGGGCCACAGAAACGCGCGGGCATACGTGTGTCACTACGGATTTGAACCTGTGTCCTTATGTGTAAAAAGCTGGTTCCATTGACGGCAAATGCCGGTAATAACTGAATTATTGGAATTATATCTATTTAATCAGAACATTACCTAATCTATTTTCATTTGAATTCGATGCAACTCCAGTTTTAGCCGCACCTTAGCTATTTGGAATACCATTTGTCCAGATCGTTTGTTTTTCTTTGTAATCCAAGTAAAATTAATCTTACTGTTAACTTATTTTAGCATTTACTAATTATTCCGTTGACTGAAATACTATGAAAGGCTGACGCAGTAGACTGTGTGTTTTTTTATGCGCTTAAAATTAAATTATTTCAGTGAGCAAGCGTGTGTGTGTAACTTGTTTAACTAAAGACAGATAGAAATATCAATGGGAGAATTTGATGCTTAATAAGCAAGCAACAATCTACAGTCTTTTGTAACTTTGGTCATTAGTTATTGATGAGAAAACTCAACTGCACTGCCAACAATTACCTACGTTAATAATTAACGCAACTAATACAAGTGCAACTTGACACGAGAAACGTAAGATAAAATAACTGTAAAAGTTGAACAAGTAGCCTGATCTACAGCGTTCGACTCTGTGTACGGTATAATGTATAAATATTAATCGAAAAGGAATTAGGTATTCTAAATAGACCTGCCGATTTTTGTTTATTCATCCTTTTCCTTAAAAATAGACTAAACATACACGTTGACATTATATCATCTGCCTCAACACATTATATTGTACATCTAAAAAAGTTTTCTTATTATAGTACGCAACGTAATTACATCTCTGTTTAGATACACAAAAAATGTTCTTTATTTCGCACATTAGTGCATAAAGAAAAAAAAAGTAAGGAAAGAAAGAAAGGAAAAGATTAACTAAACGCTCATTTCAATAATTTAAATCTTTATTATTTTTTAATTATGTGTCTTATAATATCTAAATGTGTCTACTTAACTCAAACTACTTGCTATGCACGTAACAGCTAAGCTGAATAAGTTAATTCTAATAGTCGGCAAGATATTGCTTCTTTTATGTTTACTATAGACTAAAGATACTAGCTCAAAAGGTAAAAATCTAACGTAGTCTTTACTGTGGTATTACAGCTAAAAAGCGTAACAAAAGAAATATTTTGACTTCTCGTCGGCAACTCACTGCTGTATGTCGATTGGCTTACTTCAATAAAATCCGGCGCGACGTTACAGCACTGTCGTGTCTGACGAAAACAGACAACTAATTTTTCTGCACTTAATTGAATGTGACTAACATAAGGCGTTCAAGCTTCTGTACTGGTGAACGGCTATTTTATGTAAGCAGCAGCACAAAGGCGAGGATTCTACTCCAAATGCTGGATAAGATTTTATTTGAATTTTAACTCAGAGCCTCTTGCCATCCAATTTGCATAAGCCTCTGTACTAAATCAGTGCGTGATAAACAAGGCATAAATGGGGAAAAAATAACATAAGGCTAACTGTTAGTAAAACTTAAATCATAAATGTCTCAATGTGACTAATAATTTTATGAATATTTTCAGAATCATTATAATTAAGAAAAGCTGTTTCTAACGCCATATATTATGTACCTTTCCATTTGTTTATATCTTAATGGATTTGCATTAACTTGTTTTGATAGCGAGAAAACACACGTAGGCTATCTACCAAAGTGAAGGAATGGCTTCGTGGAGGAAAATTTTAAGAGGAGCTCACATTTTGGCTTTGTACAGGATAAAAACTTTCATGCAGCCTGCTCTTCCAGGGGCACTTGAACGGCGTGTTCAGCGATTTATCCACTCGGCCGCTAGTAGGACATTTTGGCCAGTAATGGATTTAATTTAGTTTTATATTTTATTTTGTGAAAAGATGAGGGTTTTATTTTTTTAACTGCTTAGTTTTTGTTGAAATAAAAAATATCATGTACTGTAGTAAATGCGCATTTGAGCTATTGGAGGGAAAAATAATAGTTAACAAATACTCAATCAAACGGATTTTACCGAATATTCGAATGAATTATGGTTGCAGTAAGTCTGTATATTTCGCATGCTTCTGTCCTAGAAAGTTAGGTAAATACTGAAAATTTTATTTAATTTGACTTCAACTTCAGAGATATTAGAGTTGATCGGATTTTGTGTCAGAATAATTCATTTTGTATGAAATGAGACAAAATCATTTTTGATATATCATGTTGTGTGAAATGAGACAAAATAATTTTGAAGCAGTAAATTAAGATAAAACACGTTAGTGCATATTTTTTTTCAATAAATTTATAAGTTAATTTAAACTAAAAGCTTTAATCTATTTCCGATCTTGTTCTGTGATAGTCACAACCATTAAAAGTATTCCTTTTGCAGTGCATTATAAGTTATGCTTGGGAATGAAGAATTATTGGTTAATTTCTTCTTACAGTGTTTAACTACTTTTGCAACCTTTATCTGAGAGAAAAACTTCTTTTTCACAGGACCTGGTCGGCCTTGGATCAGCAGTCACACTTCCACAATGGTTCCTCAACTTCTTTTCGCCCTTCTGTACATTTTTACGGTTTTCAGGATAGCAGGTAAGTAAAGAAAAAAAAAAAAAAAAAAAAATATAATAATAATAATAATTGTCAAAAAAAATTACAAACAAAATATACTAAAGAATATTTTCTAAAACTTTTCATTGGACAAAAAACAAAATTTTCCACCCCCAATTTTGAGGGAGAGCATCCGGGGGTCTCTCACCCCTCTCCACTCCCACCAATCCACACGAAAGGACTTTATATTACATCCACAGAAGAGGACTGCATATTTAGAGTGCTGCCATGCCGCACCGACAATATAAGTTTATACACATCCATGTCTTCTCCGGGATTCGAACCCGAACCCTTCGGTACTATAGTAGGCTTCCCTAACCACTACACCGTCTGGGCGACGTCGTTGTCTATCTTTCCAAATACTTAAGCTACAGACAAGAAAAACAAAATCCGCTTGTCTAACGAGCAATCTAGGAAGACAAGCGATGTTGAGACAATTATTACGTTTTCTTGAAAGTGTTCGAAGAACGCATTTAAGTGACTAAAACAATAACCCGCTTACTTGATTCAAAAAGCACTTCAAATGTTCTAAAAGTTTCTCAAATCTAAAAATGTCTAAATATTCTAAAAGCTTCTAGGTAAACCTTATTATAGTTTGTACAAAGCAATAAATGTAGAAAACTATTTTCTTGCAGCTTTTTGTCTCCTCGCTTTTTGAAAAGAAATCAGTAGTTCTTCTTAATCACTTCTAAAAAACAAACTTCCAATTAATTAAGCGAATAAGAAAACAAACACTTATAAGGTATTTCTCCCGCCTTCTTAGCATGCCTTCGTAGTGTGGTGGTCTGCATGCTGGGCACGTATTCCAGAGGTCCGTGGTTCGATTCCCGGCGAGGGCGTTGCTCATTTTTCATCTCTCCTGCTTCCAATTAACCTAATGTCTCTACACACTCATAATATTGTTAGATATTTGCTATGCTTACAAATGATATTATAGAACTCATTCTTCTTGAAAGCTATGAATACCTATGAATATCTTGAAACATCGATATGCTAACGTAATGTACAGAATTCATCGATTATTTAAATCCGAAATCAACTACGGTTATAAAAAGAAAATAACAAAACAAAATAGGAAAATGTATGTTTCATATTTTGTTGTCTAAATCACGATATTACTTATGTACTTCTTCTGTTACTCGAGTTTTACATTGGCTTCTCTTGGCAATTAATGGAACAAAATTTGCACTTTTAAAGTAGCTGATAAGGATGAATTTTGTAAAGTTTGGCCTACATAACCTTATGCAGATAGCATTAATGCTACTTAGGGCAGACTATCCCAGTTGGGTAACCTCTTTTACCTTTCATTGCTTTGGTGTTATAGTAACTCTTATCTTTTGGAGGTTTTCTGTCAATTAATAATTGCATTTACTTCATTGTCTATATGGATAACATCAATAGTATATGGATAACATAATAGTTAAAGTAATTGCATATTTGCAAGTGCCATGTCACGATCTACGATCTGTAAGAACAAATTGAAGAACTAAGTGTAACAAAATATTGCTGTTTTAAATACTTAATAGACATTTCCAGTAGCAATATTTGTACAATTTTCAGGATATAACTTCGCTTCAGCGGCTGAGGAACGGAATAAGATATGTATGTGTCTATTCTAAAACATGTTGTATCGGGTCAGTCCATAAGTTCGTGTGCATTAAGAGTATGCGTGGAATTCACTATGACGCATTTACTAAAACAATACAATTTTTAAACCTATTGAAACTTGTCATCGTTTGACTAACATATTATTCAGTTCATCACCAACTTTCTTAAATATCGAACGCATTTTAGTACCCATTGAAGATGAATATAGATAATCAGTACAAACGTGCTGTGCTACATTTTTTATTTTTCGTGTGGTGAATGAATCTGCCAGGTTTGCAGCAATAAAAATTAATAGTGTACATGGTGAACACAATATTAGTGTAAGGACTGCCCAGAAATGGTTTAAAAAATTTCAAGTTGGAAAAAGCAGAATTAATGATGAACCCCGTTCAGTACGTTTTGAACTGTTAGAACCAAATCAAACGATTAATTCAGAAGTTTACAGTGAACTTCTGAATTAATCGTTTCGTCTAAACTCAGAATAAAAACCGTCTAAAACTCAGAATTGATCAAAAAATGCCCACGATTGGTGAATATCAAGAAAGTGTTGTTTCATCATGATAACGCTAGACCGCATAGGGCTCGAACAACGCTGAAAAAAAAAAAAAAATAGTGAATTTAATTAGGAATTTTTGCCACATTCTGCTTACTCCCCAGATATTGCCCCAAGTGATTTTCACTTATTTCGTGCCTTACAAAATTTTTTACTGGGAAAAAATTTAATTCTAAACAGGATGTATACAATGAACTTTCAAGTTTTTTTGCATCAAAACCAGAGTCTTTCTACAGCAATGGCATAAAAAAGCTGCCTGTAAGATGGCGAGACATAGTAGATAATGGAGGAAAATATATAATTGATTAAAATGTTAAATTGTATTTTTTTATATTATTTAAAAATTTACCAAAAATGCACACGAAGTTATGGACTGACCCAATATAATACTAGCAGAAACTACTTTAACCGGTAAGATCTTGAATATTAATTTGCACATGCCTACCAGTGAAGAACCATCACTGAACTAGAATCGTATAGTATCCTACTTAAAACACTTGTGTCGGAAATGAACTAAAGACTAAATTTAAGTTAGTTTCTCACTGACTGGAATTGGTGCGCTCAACCAGACTCAAACATTCTTCTCTTGAACTGCATTAGTATGTTTGCTATGTTGAGCTACAGACGGGTAACAGTCGCGTGCTTCCTTGAAATTAATCAGTCGATCAACGATTCACCGTTTTAAAACATGAGATTGTGGATTTCTTTAATTTCGAAGTCTAGACCTCAGTTTTTTTTTTTTTTTTTTTTTTTTTCCATAACCGCAATACTAGATACGCAGCTGAAGCTGTGATGATATTCAGTTTCCTTCAGGATTGTTGAGAGGATACGATGAGGGCTCCTAGAGCTGAAGAACTTCACCAGGAGGCTCCCCCACGCTGAGATGCAAGGGGGTGACCTATTGAAAGACGTGGGGCTTCAAATACAAGGGGAAGGAGGATTCGGAGACAAATCCCGAGTGGAAGTAAGAGGGGTCGCGTGTCGGAACAGATGGCCACGTGCGCCTGACACGCGTCTCAACTTCAACATCTGGCACTCACGTACACAACTGTCTTCGTCGTAAGAAGGGGATTTTTTGCCAGCTTCTGGAGGAGGCTGCTCCTGCCGGCAGAAGGTACACACTCTCTCGATTCTTTGTCAGTCCTGCACGGACCGGTACAGACTCACCTACAGTGCACTTGGTTAAGATCTGCTTGCTTTTTTCGTCACCTTTTATCTGCTTTTAATCATTAGATCATACACCTAAGAATAGTTCCCTTTGGTTACGCATTTCTTTAGACGCGTAACATGATAGTATATGTACAATCTAAGTAAGTAAGGATCAAATCTCCGAATGAAAAATACAAAAATCATCAGGCTTCCATTAAACCTAAAGTTTGTAACTATTGTCAAATTTTTTCCATTTCCTTAAGACAATAATTTTGTGATAAAAAGTTATTCATTTAATCTTATTGCAATTAATCTTACTGTATAAAAGATCTAAAAGGAAAGAGAATAGGTCGGGGTGAATGGGAATCACCCCGACCTATTCTCTTTCCTTTTAGATCTTTTAGATCCTTACAAATCACCCATTCTTGTGCAGTTACAATTGACACTGTGGTGACTTTAAAACATATACATTTGCAACTGTAAATTCTCATTACAACTAGTTTTAAAGAGACAATGAGAAAATGCCTTTAAAGAGGAAGAAAAAGAAAACCTTCAGGTGCATCAAAGTGAACTGAAAAAATTTCTAGTGACAGGATCGGCTGCATTGTTTTCGCGTGTAATATGACTACGGGCCTCTTTGCATATAATAAACATTCTTGATAAGGCACGTAGCCCTCGCGTGCCTTTCCAGAATCGTTTAATCGCCTGAATAAGTTAATATTAAAGAACGTACACAACTCCTTGAATCTTCATTATACTGAGGTTTGATAAGAAACAAATAAATGAAAAACTGATCATAATTTTTTTTTATCGTGTCGGTGGCGTGTGTCCGAATGTCAAGACTTTCAGCAACCATCTCTTTTAAGACGCAGTCCGTTTTCAAAAGCTAATTTTTGAAGTACCCATAATTGTTTGCAGTCACGCAAGGATTTTGCGTACGCCACAGGAACTGCACTCGTTCTACGAAAAGCCCAGATTTTACAGAATGGTTCTACATTCTTTGTCGAATAATACGAAATTTTTAATGCAACAAGCATACACTCGCGCCTTAAAAATATTTCTTGTAGGAACTTTTGTGTGAGAGAATTTCAAGCACGTATTTCTTGAGATAGATTTTGAATATAGTTCGATAGGATGCATTTTCAGACATAAAAATGTTTGCCTACTTTTAACGTCAGGGCCTTTATGCTAAGCTGCTATGATTTATCATATATTCAGCTTCGTGTATGCTGCTGTATGAAGCACCTGTCATTTATTTTCTTTTCAATCTGGTGAATACCAGTTACCAAAATGTTGCCTTTCATTGTGACAGGAGATCTTTATTTTATCATTCAAATTACAGCTGTTTAACAAACTATACAATTTAAAGACAATAACATTTCAATAACCCATCTAATCAATATAATTCAAAATACATTTAGTTTACAATGTATCCAGTTGATATTCGTTAATATTTGCCTTATTACTGCAATTAACAGAAGAGGTTCTTAACGCCATACATCACACACTTCGAGAAGAAACATTTGGTTTTTAGTAATATGTTCAACTGATATAATTTAAAATTCATTTAATTTGTTATTAATAATTGTGAATATTTGCAGCTTTATTGTAATTAATTTTAAATTTTTTCCCGATTTTCTTCCACAATTTTTTCATAGATAGAACGTGGGGA